GCCTGGAGTCTTTGCGCCTCCCGGATCTCGCGCTGCTCCTCACGGATCTTCTCCGGGACGCCAAGCACCCGCTCCAGTATCCCTGGGCAACCACATCCAGTTCTGAAAAACAGGTTGCAATTAAAGCAATAAACATTCTTAATCATTACCTTAATGATTTGTGTGCAGAGCCTTGTAGTGCACTCAACATGTCAAAAGTTGTCGGAACATTACCACCATCGTCGAAACGTTCGATGGGGAGGACAAGGGGTCTGCACTCGCACCCTGGTTTCGGACATTGTCCATCATTTCATTACTTACTGATAGTGAAATGACCAGAAGCCGCTGGACAATCGCTCCTCACGAGAGGCCGCAGTTCTATAAGTAATTGACATTTGATCGTAAACAGCCGCATTTAAAGCTTGCTAGAACATTAAAAGGCGAAAGAGATGCAGCATATAATGCAATGAATTGTGACAATTTTCCAACATGAAATAAGTTGGCGTTGGTGCCTGCGCGACGGCTACAAGTGTTAAACGATTTAAGACGACCTCTTCACAGACATCAAATGCGTGACATTCGTTAAAGGGAGTGTTCCACATTTGTATGGAGCTTTGAACTGAAATAGCCATCCTCGAGATCATTCGGTGCAGTTCACAGCCCTGCCCTTCTCAGGACACTAGCTGGTGAGCTGCACGCCCGTGAAGACGTGCGGATTATTTCGTGCGACTATTTCAAGGTCACCCGGGCACCAGGATAACAAGAAAGAAGGAAAAGAAAAGAAAAAAGGGTAACAGGATAACCATTCACTTACAGAACATGGTGACCTTGGGCTAGGTCAAATGTCCCCCAAAATACCACAAACTGGAAAAATTTGCTCGCGGACGGTCCCATGCTGCGGGCCTCTGGGAACGTTGGACACAAAACATCAACCAATCAACGTGCCATATTCGATATGTCATCCTTTACAAAACATGGTGATCTCGGGGCAGGTCGAAGGTCTTCAAAAACCCATGTTCCGAGCTCATGGAACCGATCGACACCAAGCCTTTGTCAATCGACGTGCCATAGTCGATAACGTATCATTTACAGAACACGACTTAAGGTCAGGTTAAAGGTCATTAAAACATCCCAAACCGCCAAAATTGGTTGCAGACAACCCTATGCCCCCAGCCTATGGAAGTAATTGGCACGGAACCTTTACCAATTGACGCGCCTGGGCCGATATCCCTTTTTCCTTACACCATGTGACCTTGGGTAAGGTAAGCGGTAACTAAAAAAACCTAGAACTACCAAACTTGGCTGCAGACATTTCTGTGCTCCAAGCCTATGCAACCGATCAGAACAAAACCTGGCACGGATGGGTTATCGACCAAAGTGCACCGATTGGTTAAGGTTTCGTGCTGATAGGTCCCATGGGCTCGGAGCATGGGGTTGTTCGCGACCAATTTCGGTGGGTTAGGTCGTTTTTTTGGTGACCTTTGACACGACCCAAGGCCACCGCATTCCTTCGACTAATGCGCATCAATTGGCGAAGGTTTTGTGCCGATCAGTCCCGAAGGCTCTGAACATGGGTGTGTCAACAGGTTCTATCAGCCGTTTAGTCACTACCAGAAGGCTAACCACACAACGTAACGCAAACCTGACTGTTGTATGGCTGGGAGCATAATCATCAAACCTTAACACGCGCTTGGGTGGGGGTCAAATTGACCCCCCCCCCCCCGAAGGTTTTTCCAGAATGGTTTCCGAACGGCCCGCCAAATTTTGCATAGTTGTAGGCAATTGAATAGCGGATCGTTTGACACAAAAAACTTATATGTACCTTGTAAGGTCGCTGACCTATGACATGTCAAAGTCAGGCCACGGTTCTCTGAGATGCTTTCTTAGGCACCGCAAATATTGAATAAGCAAATTACGTTGACCTAAGGGCAGGTATGAAGGCCAGGCCAAGGTAAAAACGAACCTGATTTATTAATCTAGGGCTTGCTTTAGGGGATAGTTTGTGGTGCTCATTTCGAATTTATTGACAGCAGGAACCGCATTATACGTCTCTCATTGACTTCTTAGATGTGAGAATGGGTCATTGACCTAATTTGAACCGGGTCGACATTTTGTTCTAGGGACATACCGCAGAGCGCAATCTTTGTCGTTCATTCAAATACAAAACTCAGGGCAGTCTCGTACGATTTTAGTCTCATGACCTTCAAAAGGTCAAACAAGGTCACTGACCTCAAATGGGATTATGAACTTTTGCTCAGAAACAGTTACCTAGGTTCTGGGGACACTTTAGAGACCAACCTGTAATTTGACCTCGTTTAGCCTTTTTGACCTGAAGGTCATGACCAGGAAAGCTCAAACTTTGACCTACGTGAGTTCACGCACAGGTCAAGACACCCTGTAAATTTGGTATATCTAGCTTTCTTAGTTCCCGAGACCTCAGAGGGGGGGGGGGGTTCAGACTGACACCCTATCCGAGCGAAGGGTATCTAGCCGGCCACCCGGACGCGTGTTAAGGTATGACCATTAACGTGATACCTGTTGCTTTCAAGAACTGAGTAGAAAACAGCAGGAGCTTCCATTTCACCCCCCCCCCCCCCCATCACCCTCGCTGTCATCACTTGCTCCGGGAGGCAGACGATGTAGTGAAGCTGAAAGCTTGTTTTGGCCTTGTGCCGCATTTTGCTAGAAACATATCCCGCAAAAGGGGCTAGAATAACTTCGAATGGAACTAAAATGGATGCCCGCTACACTCTTACGCTCTTTTCTCGCGACGCCACCGCAGTGATATGCATGCTTATGATGAAGATATCGCTTCCCCGTTGCTTGTCTGCGGCCGAGCATGGCGAGTTTTAAACTCACGCGTAAGCTTACTCACCGCCCGAGGGTCCAAACACCATGAATCCAAGTTCTGCCTTTGCCCGCACACCGACCTGTTACGGTATGCCTCGGCCCTCAGTGCCAATGCAAGTCGCGACAGCCTATGACGACCCACGAACTAAGCACAGTAGCAACTTTGAGCTGTCGTGCTTGAACGGAAATAGCACCCAAACCACAGTCCGGTATGGCCAAAAACAGCCAGCGGTGACACTAAAAAACAACGAAACGGAGGTAGAAAACTCCCAGTTCGCAAGTCTCTTACCTGCCTTTTGTAAGATGGAACTCGCACCACGCGAATGAACGCCGTGTGACCGTTGTTGGCCTGGAGGGAGCAGTTGCTAGCGGCCTAACAGCCACAGCCACATACATAGCCGCTCCTGACAGAGGACGAGACAGACCAGCCTGCCGTGGCCAGCCACAACGGAACAGCACGGGCACATCTGACGTTCTGACGACGGAGGCCGCTCGGACGACACACATGACCGAAGGATGCACGTCGGGCGACCATGATCGCTCATGACTACAGACAGACTGCTGACCTTCACAACCGGAGGATGGCCACATTGAACGAGCGTGACTAAAGCCGCAAACCCCCGTGGCACTCCAAACCCCACAAGGCGAGGGAGCGGCACAAGACAAGGGGCGGGTCGTCTCGACACGACGTACGGGTCGAGATGACCCGCGTGATCGGGAACAGCGTGCTCCGCCAGGACGCGGCCGTTTGGGACAGTGGACCAGAACAGACCAGACCCGACACATGTTCATCGACCGGTACGGATCAGACATACCAGAACAGCGCGAACCGTAGGACGCTAACCCATGGGGCGGGTGTCCCGTATGGAGCAGGCGCGTGGGGTATGAAGCCCGTCAGAACCCCACCGCATGGTGCAGGAGCGTGGGGAATGCAGCCCGTCAGAACCCCATCGTATGGAGCAGGCGCGTGGGGAATGCAGCCCGTCAGAACCCCACCGCATGGAGCAGGAGCGTGGGGAATGCAGCCCGTCAGAACCCAAACGCATGGAGCAGGAGCGTGGGGAATGCAGCTCGTCAGAACCCCACCGCATGGAGCAGGAGCGTGGGGAGTGCAGCCCGTCAGAACCCTAACGCATGGAGAGGGCGTGCCCCCTGAGGAACAGACGCATGGGGAGAGCGTGTCCCGTAAGGAACATCTATATGGGGACGGCGCGCTCCGTCAGGGCCCAGACGCATCAAGAATGAGTGACGCCACCTATACGCGGCCTCTTTTTAGTGCCCCATTGTCTCCGCGTTAGATTGGTTACGACCGAAGGCTGGGGACTTCGGTCAGGTTACAGTAGATCCAGACGGGCTGAGCGATCGACGCAGCACAGCAGAGGCGATGCGGGGCCAGATCACGTATTGACCAGCATCGTACGGACGAGCTGTACTCCTACTCGGTCCACGGAGATCACACAAAGCAGGACGGAACTACCACCGGCGGCAGGGAACAGCCCCCATGACCATAACACGTGGTGGACGTACACATCTCCATTCCCACGCATCCACGAGGTAGTAGAACAAGCAGTAATTGGGGCTTTCGGGCGCTCCGACTGCGCGGTCATGTAGCGCCCACGCATCCACGAGGAACGTTATGACCTCACAAATGCGCATCACAGACACACAAGGGTCGAACGTCGGCATCGGCCGGCCACGTCGCCCTTCTTTCGGATTCCCTGACAGGATATTCCGAGAATGTTACCACCTGTGATCTAACCAATGACATGTTTTTTTTTGTGCCTCCCGCCAACTTCATTCTTTTTTTGCCAGCTTGGCTTTTTTTCTTTTATTTCGGCGGACTGCGTGAATCTTTTTTTTGCGTGCATGAGGCCTGAGCTCCTCTGCAGTCGCCGGGCGGGAGGCACTACGCTTGTCGGCACAACGAGGGTACAATAACTGGTATCCATTCAAAGTAGCGACGATCTGCGAGCACCTCCAGAAACGGCTAGCTATACGGGTACACACTGCAGGCCACACTGCCAGACAGACCGGCCGACCGGGGAGCACCGGCGCTCACAGCTCTCTCGAGACAAACGCTAACTCTAACACACATACACGCGCAGGGAGCCATGGTGGCCGACAGTGGCCGGCTCCGTCCTGGTGCGACACCGGCTCCGGCACCGGCTCGGCTCCGGCTCCGGCTCCGGCTCCGGCTCCGGCTCCAGCCGAGGCGGCGCCGCGCTGCTCTTGGGCCGGCTATCGGCGCCAGGAGCGCTCCCCGTTGTCCTCTTCGTCCTCCTCGTCGGCGGCCAGCAGGTCGTCCGGCTGGCCAGCGGCGCTGCCCATCTCGTCGTCCTCGTCATCGGCCAGCAGCTCGGTCTCGGCCTCGTCGGGCGACGCCTGTCGACGGGAAGACACGGCACGACTGAGCGGCGCGCCAGCCCAGCACGCGAGGTCGTCTCACAGGGCCACACTCCAGACTGAGGCACCCAGCCAGCTCACAGCACCAGGACAGGGCCACACTGAACGCGGCAGCCGCGGCCGAGCCCCTCACCGGCCGGCGTCTGCCCGGCAGCGGCACCGCCCACTGACGCTTAGACGCCGCGGCTCGACGGCCGACTGGGGCCGCCCGCCTAACGCCTGGCACTCGGCAATGGGACAAACTTGTATTTTACACACCAGTATTTTGTTCACGTAAAACACTGCGGAAAACACACAAGAGCGCGGAATTGCCAGGAGTGGAGTACCCAGGCCAATGGCACGTGGCGTCATTCAACACTACAAGGAGGAACCACAACGCTAGGAAGGGGAGGAAGGCGCCCTGTCCCGCTACTTTTAGCTTAAAAAGCGGCAAATGAAAGAAGCTCCGTGGCTAACAGGTCTGTGTATCGCCGCGTTCTCGGCTTTTAATGCGTCTTGTCGACGGCCCGGGGCTTTGCGACGCGCTCAGCTGCCGGACTATATGGCATCGCCTGCCTTTCGCCCTGACAAGAAGGGCGGGCACCACGGGGAATCGAACACCGTACCTCTGGTTTCCCAGACGCGCAGTGCTTAACGCAGACGCATTAACTGTTACACCGTCGGCATCCGTTTAATGGGTCTGACGTATCAGCGAACCAAGGGGTTCACATCGGCCACGTGCGGACGTTTCTAATGATGTGCGACTGTGTCCCAAACCATCCCGGAGGAACCACTCGTTTGAGCAGCAACTTCTCCCAAAGGATGTCACGCTTCTGAGCTCTGCCCCGGTCGTGCCAGCATCGACGGTGTATCTAATCCGAGAGCAGCCGCTTTTGAAGACGCCGCTTCCCTCTGCCGCGGACGTGCCAGCATCGACGGTATATCTAATCCGAGAGCAGCCGCTTTTGAAGACGCCGCTTCCCTGTCCGCACCAGCACCGCCCGGCCAGTGACTCGGTCTTCTGACCAGAGCTGGCAGCTTCACGCCACGCCGGCGAGACAACGCCGCTGCGGCGTAGCCCGTACGTGTCCCTGGTGGGACGCGAGGCGCCCCTGTTTCCTCCAGCCACGCCCAGCAGAGGGCTTTAGGGGGTGATCCTGCAGTGTGCACGGGGACGGCTGGCACGTTCGCCCCGACATAACACCGCGGCGTCACCGCACGCTGCTGTCACCCCCATCGACCCGTGGGTGCCTCCCAAAACGACGCGGCGGATCGGCGACAGCACTCGCGCCACGAGCCCGCACGGACCATCGTCCTTGAGAGATTATTTTGGCTGTCCGGCTCGCCGGCCGCTTGATACACATGACGTCCATTTCAATAACTGAGTGACCTTAACTGCTGGTGAGGTTGGTTGGTCATCTGGACTTTAGAGCGCATCGACTGCACGGCCCTGCAGCGACAAATCAATCCTGTATACAGTTTGCTGCTGCCATTAGCGTATTTGGCTGTATGAAGAACTCCCAAAGTTTGTCCAAACAACTAATGTCCACACACTTTTGCCAGCGCTCCCACGCAGCCACAGGCCAGCGCGACGGAGTGCCCACCTTGATCGCAGCGGCGGTGTCTGCGGCGTCGGCGGCGTCGGCGGTGTCGGCGGCGGCAGCGGCGGCGGCGGTGGGCGCGGCGGCCGGGGTGGCGGGCGCGGCTGCCGGCGGCGGCGCGCACCAGGCGACCGTCAGCTGCCGGTCGTTGAACTGACGGCCGCGGCTGAGCGCCGCCTCCGCCCCCTGGCGCGCGCGGAACGTCACCACCACCGACGGCGTGGCCGCGTCCTGCTTGTAGTCGACGATCTCGCCGAATTGCTGCCGAGGAGCGGAGCGTTTGAGACGCGCGGCGCCGCCCGGGAGACCGCGGGACGGGTGGCGTCCGAGCGCCGGCTGACGCTCGTCAATGCACGGGCACACCGCCGTCGCTGCGACGCCCACACAGTACAGAACACAACAGGGATTTGCTGGACCCCAGCTCAACATAACGTCGTAAAACAAGAATTAACAAGCTGGCCAGGGACGCCAAACCAGGAGTGTTTAACGATTGTGCGTGCGTGCGTGCGTGCGTGCGTGCGTGCGTGTGTGCGTGCGTGTGTGTGTGTGTGTGTGTGTGTGTGTGTGTGTGTGTGTGTGTGTGTGTGTGTGTGTGTGTGTGTGTGTGTGTGTGTGCGTGCGTGCGTGCGTGCGTGCGTGCGTGCGTGCGTGCGTGCGTGCGTGCGTGCGTGCGTGCGTGCGTGCGTGCGTGTGTGTAAGAGGGACGGGACGGACAGGAAAAGCCGGGGCGGGGGCCGTGGCGACATCCGGAAAGACCGGCAACGTTTTCATTCTCCGGTGGCCAGTCGCGAGCGGCACCTCCACGCACACACGCACACAGCCAAGCCGGCCGTGTCGTGGTCGGCTGGGCGGAGCCACCTGAGCCGGCGGCAGCGTGGCGTCCACTCACCGCCAGGTGAGCGAGCAGCGCCGTCTTCTCGTCCGGCTGGTAGCCGGACACGGTCAACTTGGTGGGCCGCCGGTCGACGGTGGTGGGGCGCGGGTGGCCGACCGCGAAGCCCGGTCCGCCGCGGCCGCGACCCCTGCGCGGAGGCGGGCGAGCGTCAGACGGCGGGCGGCACCCCACCCACGCAAGCACGCCCTCCCGCACGCGAACGTGCAGGGCGGGAGCGCGACGTCCGCTGAAGCCCAGCGATACGGACAGGCCGACACACAACGCCCGAAGGCCGACGCAGAAGGTCACCGTTACACCGGCCACTGGCGTCGGCCAGCAAACGAGCGCTACCAAATACCAACCTAGCGGAGGCCGCCGGCTTGGAGTGATCACGGCCCGGAGGGACCCGGATGGCACGTGCAAAGACCACGGGCTACGATCAGAATACTCGAACTGGTCTCATAGGTAAGCTCAGGGTGTGATGACAATAATAATAACTGGGGTTCTCCGTTTCACCGACAACCAAGGAAGATTCGAGGTTCAACGAACCAAGAGAGGATAATGGACGCACGAGCAACACCAGAGGTACAGGAACAGCGACAGGGTGCATATATTTATGAGGGTCATCGGGTTTTAAAGACTAAACGAATCCACAATGGACACATTGACCTCAACACGCCGGGAACTGTTTTACAATGGACACGTGGTCTACACCACAAACAGGTATTGCGGGGGAGATGCCCGCACTTGGCCAGTATCACAGCGGCGACACCAGCCCCGTCAACGCTCCCAACGGCGCGCCGCGTGCCCGGACACGGCCGCGCGGCCGCTCACAGTGCCGCCGTCTACTGACCTGCCGCGCGTCGGCGGGGCCCGGCCCCGGCCGCGGCCGCGGCCGCGCGACGCGATCAGCTGTTGGCGCATCTCGATGACGCGCTGCTGCAGCTCGCTCGTGTCCACACCGGCCTGCTGCTTCTGGTACAGGTCCATCTCGGCGTCCAGCACCTCCCGCTCGGCCTGCGGAGGCGGCGACGGGCGGCCGCGGTCAGCGCGCGTGGCGGGAGCAGCGGCCGGCGGCCAGAGCGGGACAGCTGAACACACCACGCGGCCGGCAGCGTGCATAAGCCGCTGCTGCTTTTACCAAAGCCGACAAACGCACACCATTGCTCCGATGGCGTTTGTTAGCACAGCTGGCACAGTGAGCACAGTTTGCAGGCTAGCGCACCGCTTAGCACTGGCGTGGTGCCGCAGTGGTGCCTGCCGCAGCACTCTACGTCAGGAAAAGTGAAAGTGGCGCGGCGCTTGCGGGAGGAGCATAGTCGGTGTTTCGGCGGGGACGTACCGCATCCTTGCCACGCGCGCTCGGCTCCCGCTCCATGGAGGCGAAGATGACGGCGCGCGTCTGCACGATCGCCTCCTGCAGCGACTTGACGGTGGTGATGAGCGTGCTCCGCTCCTCCGGCTTCAGCGTCTTGCTCTCCAGGCGCACCAGCAGCGCCTTCTGCTGGCTCAGCTGCTTCTCCAGCAGGTCAGAGTTGCGCTTCTTGAGGTCGGCCGCCAGCTTCAGCGCCTCCTGCGTCACGAAGGTCATACGGGGTCAGCGCCGGGTCGGCGGACGGCGATAGGCAGACATGACACTTTCCAGCATCATCCGCACGTCCATGGGAAGCGCCAGAACTGACCGCCAGCAGTTTTCACGCCTTCGACCATTCGTACTGAGCAAGTCGGCTGCGCCTCAGCAGCGCAGCCTCTCTCCTTCCCCCCTTCCTCCCCATGGTCCCGTACCGCGTGGGACGGTCGGCCAGCTCACCTTCTGCTTCTCCTTCTGCTTGGCCTGCAGCGTCACCTTGGCGGCTAACATCTGCTGGCTGTGCTTGATGGCCTCGATGCCCTGCTGTTTGGCGGCCGCCTGCTGCTCGGCCTGCTGCTTCAGCACCTCAGGGTTGGTGACTGTGCGCATCAGCTGACCGCCGGACATCACCACCTGGCGGCAGTACATCGAAACACGGTCACCGGCGAACACCGCCGGCGCGCGGCGACGGCATCTGCCCGCCAAGCGTGCGCCCACGCAGTACTCTGCTCCGCTGTCTGCCGCCCCTGGGAGCCCGGCTTACAGATGCCCTCGGGTCACCACGGATCGCCCAGATCCAGGTGCGTTCCCACATGTTCGTCAGAAGCCAGGAGAGCTCAGACACCATATGGTCAATTGGAAGGATCTGAACTTCAAGACAAACGTCACCATTTTGAGCTACTGCCGTGAAACCAAGATTATTTTTGAACATCTTTGCCAGGGCAAACCAGACTCATGATTAGCTTTTGAATCCATTGAGAGCAGCCTCCGAAATTCCGGCACGATTTAGCTCAGGGCGTACGGAACCAAGAACATATGTCCCTCACTAATTCAGCTGGCTACTTATTATAACACTGACCATGCTTTGAAGGGAACTCTTACGATGACCATCTTAGCCAACAGAGGAACAAACTCACAGATGACTTCCACATCCGGCATGCGGCAAAACCAACAGATTTTCTCAGATCCCAAACAAGTCCTCGTAAGGCCGGTACCGGAGACGAGCGCTAGTCATGACCCGACTCAAGAAGTCCTAGCCCAACAGCTGACACATGACCACGCGCCCAACGCATTGCAGCCATGCGTCCGAAACTAAAGCCAACGAAATGTAGACTGGCAATCAACGGAGACCAATGCCAAAGGATTAGTGACACTAATAAATCCTCTGAAAACAAATACACAATGTGTGAAGAAATGCGGAGAAATCAACGAAATAAGTGTGTAAGAGAATGGGACACACGTCACACCAAGTCAGCAGACATGCAGGGAAAGGGTTCCGGAACGCAGGCAAAGCCGCGGACGACATGCACTAGCTACGCCCGGTTGTTTCGCCTCTCCCCCGCCTGAGCACTAGAGCGTGGCCGGCCTGCCGAGCAGAGCGCGGCCGCGGCCAGGCAGGCTCGGGCGCGTCTCCAGCGGCCAGGGCATTACCCGCTCGGTGGTGGGCAGCGGAGGCGCCGGGCCGCCGCCGGCCGTGCCCAGCCGCGCGCGCGCCGGCGCCCGGACCGCCGCCCCGTTCAGCGCCTGCGACAGCCCAGAGCGCCGCCTCAGGTCAGGCGGCCGCAGCTCCGCCCGGTTCCGCTTCCGCCCCCTCCCCCGCCTGCTCGTCCGCTGCCCCCACCCTCCCGTCCCCCCCCCCCCAACCCCCACCGCGGTCCAGGCTGACCGGACGGCACCGCTGCGACACAGCACGGCAGACTGGAGCGCTCGTCTGCCGCTCGGCTGACCACTGCGTTGTGCCGTAACTTAAGCTCACGCGCACATCTGCACGCACATATTTCACCTTCTACTTCGCTCATCTGTTGACGTCACACTGACAGGCAACTACGGTACGCCGTGTCTTTGTAAGCACTCTCCAGATCCCCAGCAGAGGCCGGCGCTTCGCTACCCACCAATGCCAAATACGCACAACACGCCTGCCACAGTACAACATGCCAACCACAGCACAACACGCCTGTCAGCACACAACACGCCCGCCAACGCACAACACGCCGGACAACACACAACAGCACGGCGGAAACGCCCACCAAAGCCTGTCCACGCTTCAGAAGTACCGTGAACAGCACAGCCACATTCATCCACCGCCGGCCCTTCGACTCCTGCGTCCACCTCCTCCCCCAGACGCCGCACTCGCCGCAGCACGCCCCAGCGGCATGTTAGTGGGCAACACGGCCCCATCGTTGGGTCGGGGAGCGGTCCACACTAGCGCGCCAGCCAGACGCCGGGTCAGCCGCCGAGTCGAGCCCTCACCTCGCCGGCCGGCTGGGCCTCCTCGCGCTCCTTGTTGTGCCAGAACACCTTGATGAAGCGGTTGTTGAGCACGGCCTCGGTGCACTTGTAGGCCGCCTTGGCCTCGGCCGGGTTGCTGAAGGTGACCAGAGCTGCCTCCGGGTCGCCGTTGAACGACACCTGCGGAGGACAGAGCGGCCGCCGTCAGCGGGGCCGACGCCAGACGTCGGACGTCGGACGGTCGGCGCCGTCCCGCCTCCCAGATCGGGGGACAGCAGGCACCCTGGACACTTCGGAGGCCGTTCAGATCCACCCCGTGCAGTGCGTGTCATGCGCGAACACCGCGTCATCCGGCCTGTGAGCGATTCCGGGTGGCGCCGGCATTCAACTCCGAAACCAGCAGCTCTCGTAGAGTCAGGGTGAAATCACTTCCTGTCAAACTTGATCGTTGGAATAAGGGCCTTACTGTACTGGTGACAGGCCGACAACTAAAAACGTACGCGACAAGGGCTATTGTTATTCTAATAGCTCTTACATGTGTCGAAAATGCAGCTCAGCCTGTCTTGTTATTAGCCAGCAATGTATCAACTGTTGCCAGCGGTGCAGCCCATTAGTGGTTACCGAGGGAGCGTTGGACACCGAAATCGATTCCGGAATTGAGCAATATCCCCTGAGTTGGAGCAAGAGCCCAATCGCAGCCGGTATTAAGCTACTACCCGCAGTTTGAGTCCAAACCGATTGCACAGTCGCCGGTCGGAGTCGCAATCGATTACCCAAGAGCAGCCTCCAGCGCAAGTCCGCGTGGAGCTCACATGAGTTGAGCCAATGCCGAGCCGGCCACGGCACGAAGGGCGCACATGCGGCTCCCAACCTGGACGACGCGGTCCCGGCTGCCCGGCCGCACCGCTGCGCTCACCTGGATGTTGGTGATCTTGCCGAACTTGGCGAAGTGGTTGTTGAGGTGGATGATCTGGTTTAGTCCGGCGGGCACCTTGCGCAGCTCCAGGCTGCTGTTGGTCGGGTCGAAGCGGGGCCGACCGCCGCCGCCCAGCCGGCCCATGTCGAAGTGGCCCCGCTTCCTCGGCGGCTCGTTCTGGAGTTAGGCGGGGCAGGTCATGACAGGTCAAGTCAGGTCAGGTCAGGCCAGGCCAGGTCAGGTCAGGTCAGGTCAGACCAGGCCAGGTCAGGCCACATATCCAGGCCAACAGGGCGCGGCGGGACGGAAGGACACACCCGAATCCACAACCACCTCAGCTAAGTGGTCGTAGTCGCGTCAGGCCATGCCTGCCATACAGCCGTACCACAGACGTGATGCAGACGCTGTCACCAGAGCACGGCAGCATCCAACATTGGACGATACGCAGCTCAACACCCGCATGCATCGCGCTCCCGGGCCGTACGCCACCAGCACCGTATGAGCTCCGTTACAATCGGCCCCGCCTGCACACGTCTCCCCTCAGTCCCACCCCCGTGCCGTCTGACCGGCGTTGGCCCGCGGGCCGACTCACCTGGTCGCGGCCCGCCCACCGGTCGGTCGACTGGTAGGGGTGGCGGGGCCGCGGCCCGAGCCCGCCCGGCGCCGCCAGCGGCCCGTTCACCGGCACGCTGAGCAGCTCGCGCGTCGGCGCCGTCGCCGCCGCGGCGAAGAAGGGCCGCGGGTGCGGCGGCGGCGGCCGCGAGTAGTTGGGCATCGGCACCCAGACGGGCGCCGGCGCCGGCGCCGCCACCGTCAGGCTCGGCGCGTCCGGGTTGTATGGCTCTGCGGGCGAGGACCGGGTCAGAGGTGCCGCTCTGGGGGACAACACCGGCTCTGCGGGCGAGGGCCGGGTCAGAGGTGCCGCTCTAGGGGACAGCACCAGCTCTGCGGGCGAGGGCCGGGTCAGAGGTGCCGCTCTAGGGGACAACACCGGCTCTGCGGGCGAGGGCCGGGTCAGAGGTGCCGCTCTAGGGGACAACACCGGCTCTGCGGGCGAGAACCGGGTCAGAGGTGCCGCTCTAGGGGACAACACCGGCTCTGCGGGCGAGGGCCGGGTCAGAGGTGCCGCTCTAGGGGACGGCGCAGCGTCCGCGATACCGCCCTGGGGGCACCACCCGGCCGAGTGTAGCAGCCGCCGTCAAACGAATTCCACTACCAGCAGCCAACAATCGCTCAACTACCACACAAACACGGAAACAGCACATTCAGAACTGACTACAGGAGAAACCTTGCGACCGCTGTGAACGCCACAAACCACATCGCGTTGTTCGCCACGACACCTCAAACCCGCGGTCCAGCCCCCCGCGGCGCGCACCACACCCCACCGAGCGACGGCGCTACTAACCGACAATGGGCGGCCGCGGCAGCGGCGGCTGCACCAGCGGGTTGAAGGGCGGGGGCGCCGGCACGGCCGAGGGCGCCGCCACCGGCGCCGGCACGCCGGCCGGCGGCGGCTGACTGTACTTCAGCACCTCCGGCAGCGACACGTCCTTCAAGATCACCGGATCAGCGCCGTGGTCGAACGGACACTGGTCGCCGCGCATGCAGAAGCCCTTCTCTGCAACACGGGGCGGCACGGCCCGGTCAGAGCAGCCGCACGTGACGCCGTAGGCCCCGGGGCCAGTACGTCACGGCTGTGCGTTAAGCAACGCTAGCGGGACGTCAACCAAAGAGAAAACGCAGCACGCCACTGGTGCAACCCACCTACGCGGATCAACTGACACATGCCATAATATGTACGTGGCAAGGAATGACCGCAATGCAATTATTACTGTAAGAGATAATTCATGCTGGCTTCTCGCAACGGGCATTACACAAGTGCCTACAGATCAAAAGGACACCGACTACAGGAGAACAGGCGCCGCCCGCCCCCTGAGTCTGACGTACCGTCGTAGTCGCGACAACGCTGCTTGACGGCGGCGTTCAGCTTCTGGCGCAGGTCGGGCGGGCCGGCCGGCTCGCGCGGCTTCTCCGGCTCGGGAGGCGCCGGCGGGGACCGGTCGAACTTGACTGCAACAGGCGGCACGGGCGCACCGGTCACCGGCGCCCACACCGTCACAGTCGCCGTACATCCCAGCGGGCCGGCTTCGGCCAGGCGACGGCGACGACACGTGGGACGCACATGCCACCAGGGATCCATGATCTCCGCAATACACACTACACTCCTGCGCCTGGCGCAGGACAAGCCGCACACCACCCCCGGTCATGCGTGCCCCCCCCCCCCCCCCCCCCTGCAGGGCCACCACAGCACCTGGCCTGCAGACCGCACCGAACCAGACAAACACTGGCGCATGGCGCCGGACCATTAGCATGCGCTGCCGCGAGGCCGGCCGCCGGCGCCGTTACGGAGCGGGCCGTGACTCACTGGGTGACTTGCTGCGGTTGTAGCGGGGCGAGCGCGGGCTGCGGCTGCGAGAGGTCCGCGTCGGCTTGCTCTTGGCCGGCGACTTGGACTTTGTACGAGGCGGCGACCGGGACTTGGTCCGGACGCGCAGGGGCGGGGGCGAGCGGGAGCGACGTAACCTGGCGACGACGGCAGGCCGGTTACACGTGCCGCGCCGCGCAGCGTGTTCGCAACACATCACAGCTGCCACAGCACGGAACAAAGTCACAACACTGAAACGGACCAGCCAGCCACTGCCAATATACTGCCGCTCCCACAGCGGAACTAGCACAGCCGGCGCTCGGCGCGTCTGGGCACGCGGCCGCGGTGGCAACCCGCCAGAGCATCGCCGCTCGACACTGACCGTCTGTCGCGGGGCGGCGAGCGGCGGCGCCTCTCCTCCCACGAGCGCTTGCGCTCGGGCCGCTCGGGCCGGTCGTCGCGGTCGCGGGGCCGTGAGCTGGGCCGCCGGTCGCCGCGGCCGCGGCCGGCCGGCTCCGGCTCCACGCGCCGCCGCGCCGGCTCCGGCCCCGGTGCCGCCGCCGCCGCCGGCGGCTGCGCGGCCGCCGGCTGCGTGGTGGAGTCGGGCGACGCCTGTGGCATGTACGACTTGGACTCGAGCGTCGCGAACAGCTGGTCCACGAATGGCGCCGCCTGGTCATGCAGGAAGATGTCCAAGTTGTTTTTCATGCTCTCGCGCAGCTGCTCCGGCGGCATGTCCTTCTTGATGAGCGCTAGCACGTACTTGGCGAGCTTGCCCGGCTCGGCATCACAGCTGGCGGCGGAGGCTCGGGTCAGTGCAGCTCAAGGTGGGCCAGCTCTGTCGCGGCGACAGACCGACACACACTGGCGGAGCGGAAGCCCCACGAACACTACCCGTGGCCGTCAACGGGAGGCCGATGGACAGACTTACAAGACTCTGCTTGGGAACAAGAAGTACCGTCATGAGCCTCTCGGTGAAAATAGAACTGTTCCTAACCACCTCTTGACGCTGACACTTACCAAATATCTACATATTGTTAAATGTGGCAAGGAACACTGTTTGATAACTGCTTCAACTGTTCTGCCAGACGCGGACCCTTGGTGTTCGGGTATCGTTCATAAGACGACGCGCCTTCTTAAGCTACATGTGCCGTGCGCTTAACTTACAGCGGTTCCATCGTCTCCGTCATCCATTGTTTCAGTATTTCTGGCTTGTCCACGATCATTGTGAACGTCAGGTACCTGAAATGACAACACCAGGTGAGGAAAAGAACCACTGGGTTCGGCGCCAAGAAAATGGCTACCATGACTACTAGGCACCATCACGAACATGTTAAGTACTACACATCGAACGTTTTTACGCAATTAGTAGCCTGTTTGGAGTACATTTTGCACTTGTCAAGGTCAGCACTTGGTTATACAGGTTCACCTGTGTGAAAAGCGCATTTGTTTGCCCTACACGACACGACCCCTGACGATCGACATCCCCTAATGCTGAGCAAACACGCTGATTGCCGATTAGTGATTTTGTGTTACAAGCGCTTGTCTGCCGATATTTGGGGTAGTGTTCATTCTTTCAACATTGAGCCATGCCAAGAGCCTTCTTCTGAATTTTGGGGGTACCTGGTCTTACAAAATGCTTTTGACTGGAGTCAAAACATGATATAACTACATATAACTACAAAGTCAGGCCTAGAAACATTCCAAAACCAACTAGTGCCTCTAAAGAAATTGTGCGTTGTGCTATGCTGGTCTTCTAATCCATGATGTAAGATAATGCTCAAGACTGATGGATGTTTGTTTTGCAATCATCTAATTAATCAGATTACAGACAAAAATATCATAAAAGCTATGATGCCATAATGGCAGTTACACATATTGAAGATAAGTAATTAAAATGGACTCCCTGGGTGCAAAAACCTTTATTGACAGGGAACAGCTACAGCACTGTTCACCTGCCCACAAGCCATGATTTGAGGGTAGGGTAGGATTTTACACACTGACAGGTACTGATACAGAGAGATTGGGAGGCCATCAATATGCATGCCAGCAAGGGATGAAAGATTACAGAAGGATAAGGTGGAGTTTTAAACATTAGTGAGATAACAATAGGCTATGTAAGGATGTCAAAGCCTGCAAAATCTGTCACTATCTGGGCGATCTATGAGGTGCTGTCCTTCAGTGGATGCACATGACAAAACAGATACCAATCACTGTAATCCTCCTAAGTCCAGTTTCTGAGAAAGATTATCCATTTTACAGAAGCAGCATCAACTTGTACTACACCCCTTACATTGAGAGGCACTAATATCATATTGGAATCCTGTTTTCTGGTGGGCAATACATCAATGTCAACCCTGTGGCAAAGCAAGCACAAAAATACAGTTTGAACCAGACATCAAAACAACAGCAATGCAAACGCAAGTTGCATTAGGAGGCATCAAAATGAAGCCAGATGTCTGGTTTTCAAGGAAGTTCAAAGCAATGATGTATAGCCAAATCAAGACTGGTGGCTTCTAAGCTTGGAACTTTACATACAAAGCTAGAGCTAGTGGACTTCTTGTAAAAAAAATAAGCCAACCCAAAGCCAATGAACTTAAACCTTAGTAAACAACAAGCAACAATCGAATTCATATGCTATGTTTGACAAAACATTAACTATTTTTGCTTCTGCTAAATCTGCATGAGATGAGAAAAAGGAATTTCGAAAAATGATTGATGTGTGTTGGAATTTTAGAAAATGTATTTAACAACCTGCATTCCTTGTTTTGTGCTAAAACGCACAGCATGTCGGATGGGCAGTTCTTCAGGTGTCACCATGTGATGAGTGCAGTTTTGACAACATGGTTTGGGCACTTAGCTGTGCGAGTGTCAGTCTTAAAGAGCAGTGTTGTATATTGGGGGTGGTGGGAAGGGCAGAACTGCTGCAAAGCAATGCTGCGACTGCAGAGATAAAATAATGATCACAAAGTTTATGTCAGCAGTTCAAGTTCACATGGAGCCAAAGCCTGCACCATTATTCAAAACTGGTTGGAAGCTGAAACCAAAGCTAGGAATTATGCACCAAGGTCAAAACCAAGGCCAAACATTTGAAGCTTTGGGAAATGTGTCATACCTAAGACATACCTCATACAATGGAAGAAATTACCAACTTTACAAAGCCTGGCTTTGTCCCCTGCCTGAGCTTGTGCTCTTTTAGTCCCTCACCTTGGGATGCCAGCCACCCTACTTAGTTCAACCAGCATGACCACATTTACTATATACCAAACTATTTGTATGACAAGCCTCCTTAGCAGCAGAATGTGCTTTGAGACCACCTGAGCCAAGGCCAAATTGTGCTGACTTTTCAGGTCATTTTTACAAAATTCTGGAGCATATTGGCCAGAAATTATGGGTTGAAATTGGTCGTGACTGTACCAAAATTTGAAGACACTGATCTATATTGTTGGCACCTATGGTGTGGCAATGAAATTGTTGGTGGAATGTCACTACTATGCTGGAATGCTCGGGGTAACATTTTTTTTCTTCACAGATTGACCTGTAACTGCCAAAAATAACTGTTGTAACTATAGCTGCTGTTAACTGTGCAAATGGCCACTGCTGTAACCAACATCTGAACCACTAAGACACAAGTTCAGATGCTAATTTCAGTATCACCAGTAAGGCATGTGTTACATATTTTTATCATGTTGTAGTATCACTGTGCCAAAGCAATCATAGTTGATCATGTAGACCATTTCACATAAAATCATCCCCTGCACTGGATACCTGAGTTTCGTTTGGTGTCCTGAACCCCATCTTCATCCAATACAGGCCTGACCACATTGTGCTGACTGTTTTAGTACTTTGCAATGATTTCAGAGTATTTTTAACTGAAATTAAAACCAGCTAATAATTCCCTGAAACATTGGCTTTCTATGAACTTGAGCTTCCAGCACCTATGCACCAGGCTCTGTGTGATTTGATCTAATGATCATGCTCTCAAATCTGTGTTGAGGTGTTGCTTCTGCACTGGAAATGTTGGCATTAAGTGTGTTTTTGCAGTACAGTGACCACTGAGCAGGGAAAATTGTTTCTAGATATGCCTAAACATATGATGCTACAAAACATGGCTTCTCTGTATATGGCCAGGTTACTGCCAGTGTTTACCAGTTTCAACCATTCAGGTATTGAACGCAGGTGTCAGAACTTAGATTCAGCAGTATAAAATGCCACCCTATTTAAAGCCATGTTGGCCCACCTGAGGTTTCACACACATCATCAAAACTGGTCTTACTGCCTGACCTGCCTGAATTTAGCATTAAATAAGATCCTTAGACCCATAGAGCCTGTCTGAAAGACTTTCAAGTGTTTCTAGAGATTGACCTCCTACAACTCTGCTTCACAGTCCCTTGTTATGATTCCCTACTTTTTGACTAAATAATGTCTGCCTCCCCAAATTTCTACTCCTACCTTTTACTAAGTGAAGTTGTGCTTCTCTTAGTCTCAGCCTTATTTCCAGTGTTCCATATAGATCTCCAGTGTTCCATATAATCTCCTTGTCTATGTTTTCATAATCCTGAATACCTCCTAACAGATCCCCTCTCGGTCAGTGAATAAATGAATGATGTTTCAGTGGGTACAGGCCCAAGGCCCCAAGCCCATCCTTACATTGCAGGTCACAACTCCCATTCATCATTTTAGTAGCTTTTTGCTGTATTCCTTCCAGCCTATCTAACCTTTTTGGGAACATGGTGATCAAGCCTGTAAACAATATCTGAAGTGTGGTCTGGCATAAGCTACAAACAACTTTTGGACAGCATTTCCACTCTGGTAATGAACATCATATAAAATAAGTCCCAGCATTCTAAGCACCTTGCTCCTACAGTCCCATATTGCTTTTCATCCTTTACATCCCTGGAAATGATGACCCTAAGTCCATTTTCTTCTCAATATGGTCTAACTCCTAGTCTTTCATCTTACAGTAATGCCCTCACTGTCAAAATTACCCAAAGGCATCACCTTACACAATCAACTGGCATCTGCCACAAAGAAGCCAGCTCCCTAGTTCCCACAACTCAAGTTGAGTTTAGTTCACTTGGCCATTTTTTACACTAATGACATGACACCAATGACATGAAAATAATGAAGGGATTCAATCTTTCTTAACAACTGGACATGTTGGCCATGTTGCTACATTGGACTCAAATATTCTCATGATGTTTTGAAGTTTCTCTCAGACACTCTCAAAATGGACTTCACTGGCATTATACAGTCAGCTAGAGGCCATGTCAATATATCACACAAGTGTGAACTACATGTCTGCACTGCATTCCAGGAAGCTGTAGTTAAATTATTAAGCAAATAATTATCCTTGTGATAATCATCTAGACATTTTTCTTTTTACACTTGGCAGGTCACCCCAAGCTTATCCCCTAGTTTCCTCATAGCTAGACTGCATGTTGTAAATGGTCATGGTTTTCTATGCCATGCTAGGCATGACATGGAAAAGATTCCATCTCCACCAAATTTTAAAACTTATGTGAGGTTTGTCATTGGCCTGGAAACTATCTGTGATTTTGACATCTGTTATGGACATTGCAATCTGATCCCTGTGTTCTTAAAGCCAAAGCCATTCCTCTCAGTTATTGTCCATCATTGGCTGCCAGCTTATTGCACTGAGCACTAAGTGCAGTGAATGCTTGCGAGCATTTCAAACTTCATGCAAGCAAATGTGTTCTGGATGGGTAGGTATAGGTATACATTGGTACCTGATATGAGAAAAAATTATTGTGCATCATTTGTTGTGTTTAAGGCTGAATATCTCATAAATAATCATAAAACAGGTAGATTCATGCTCCTACCTTCAAATTTTAATAACTACGATAGCAAGCTCCCGAGCTCTAAATTAGCCTAAATTCACCTAACCTAACCTAACCTAAACCTAACCTAAACCTAACCTAAACCTAACCTAAACCTAACCTAAACCTAACCTAAACCTAACCTAAACCTAACCTAAACCTAACCTAAACCTAACCTAAACCTAACCTAAACCTAACCCAGCCCAGCCCAGCCCAGCCCAGCCCAGCCCAGCCCAGCCCAGCCCAGCCCAGCCCAGCCCAGCCAGCCAGCCAGCAGCCCAGCCCAGCCCAGCCCAGCCCAGCCCAGCCCAGCCCAGCCCAGCCCAGCCCAGCCCAGCCCAGCCCAGCCCAGCCCAGCCCAGCCCAGCCCAGCCCAGCCCAGCCCAGCCCAGCCCAGCCCAGCCCAGCCCAGCCCAGCCCAGCCCAGCCCAGCCCAGCCCAGCCCAGCCCAGCCCAGCCCAGCCCAGCCCAGCCCAGCCCAGCCCAGCCCAGCCCAGCCCAGCCCAGCCCAGCCCAGCCCAGCCCAGCCCAGCCCAGCCCAGCCCAGCCCAGCCTAGCCTAGCCTAGCCTAACCTTACCTCCCCACCCTATCCCCTTCAACCCAGTGTCCCATTGGCATCCACATTCCATGCCATATATATGCAACATATTAAGAAGTTTTGTTTAGCAGCCATATTCTCATTTTGCTTTTCATTCCCAACCCAAGGATGTCATAGTTGCCCACCATGTTGACCAATCTACAAACAGTATGGAAGACTGCTTGGATATGCAAGAAACATATTTTATTGGATTCTTGTTACCTTGGTCCCATACATTTTTATGGTTCTTGATGCGCAGTAATGTTGTGATCACGCATAGCAATGGCATCAGGATCGCAGTTGCTGCGTTTTGCGGCACTCAGATGTTTGCTATCATAGTTAAGTTCCAGGGTAAGAGTTTAGATGACCTGTTTTATGATTAACTATGATATGTTCTGCTTTAAAAACAATGATTGATATAAAACCCTCCTTTTTAACATGTGGTAGCAATGTATACCCCCATGGATGGGCAGAAGGATGGATGTAAGAATTGTTCTGATGATTGCTGACATATTGTCTGCACAATAGGCTTCCAAACAGGCTGTGGATCAATGGCAAAAAAACCCCTTGGATGCACCTGATTAGCTTGTCATTGTACACAAGCATTTGGACACTTAACATATCTGGTTAATGCAAGCCAATTTGTACACACAAAGTGTACCAATAAAGGTGAGTTGAAATTCCCCACAACCCAATGTGCACAATTAAAAATCCCACTTAAGCACTGTTTACTGCCTCTAAAACGTATGGCAAACTGCAGGTATTGCAGAACCATTCTTAACATTTCTAGCCATAACAATACAGACCACATTCCACACTTAGTCACATTATGTCTGGATTATGCTCCATATGTGCTACCGATTCCAGATGTTCAATAAACCCAGATTATGTAACACAGTGCATGCATATGGAACCAAAAAACCTACAATTGAGCGAGGATTGCGAAACACTGCTGTCCTGTGATTCTGCCAGACCACCTCCATGGATGAACGTGAACAAAATCGCAAATTCGCATAGACCATGACGCGCCGTAAACGTACCTTATGGTATTTTTGTACCGCTCGCACCACGACCTACCTTTGAGTGCGTCAACAGATGACAGAAAGACTCGATTCACTGCTACGGCAGCAACTGACTTAAACTCTACCCAATTTTCCTGCCATCCGCTCCCTCAACGTTCTCCACACTCCACCCTGCAGATCTATTGGGAAATATTTCAGAGCCGCCTCGTGCAGAATCCAATAGTGCTGGTCATTTTCGATCGGAAAGTACTTCCTATCTTGCTTACCCTATAGAACATTAAAGTACTATATGGCCGACTTGTACGCTAAATATCCATAATTATATCGAATACAATATTTTTGAAGGACGTTTAAACAAAATTTTGTTTTTTAATATTGCCTTAAAGTTCGAAAAAATGCATTGCTGATGCATGTAAATAGTTAATCGTTCACATTGTCATTGTCGCACCATTCTTGCGTTACATCCTCCGCCCTTGGATCAGAGGCGGAGAAAGCTAAGTGGTTGGGTGTCGCAGTGACCAGGTGTGCTCCGCATCTAAACACGTAACCAAACTAAACATAATGCTGACCCTGGGTCAACGATTTAATTAAGGTGGCCAAGCTACGTTTGTCTGGCAATGTTCATTTCATTCATCTCAATCGATGGGAGAGATAAATGTCACGTAACGGCGCTTTGAACATACGCGCTCGCAAATCTTGCGAAAAACCTTGACGTCAGACGATGCAGTCTCCATAGGCAGCGAAGCGTCGGTTCGCTCGTCTACTACTGAGTGCCAACGGATGGGTGAATATGTTGACGCGTCTGTAAGAAATACTATGAACGCTTTATTGGACAACAAATCGAGAGCCCGGGACTGAGGTGCAAACGGGGAAATGGGGAATCGACGGCGGTCCAGTTGGGCCGTTGACCTCGCCCGGTCCATGCTGGAGACGCGTACTCCCAGGCTTCATCACCCCCTCCACCTTCACCAGCCACGATGCGACCTGACCCCGCTGGGACAGCGGTGCTCAGGTGTAGAACTTTATATCTCTTTGGGGGTTTATGCTACCCGCCCCGTGATGTTGAGCTGCCCCATGCCAGGGTTAGGCTAGACCCTCCAATGCTAGGATGGACCCCCTAATATTTGACTGGGCCATCGCTGTATGTTTTTTAGATTGCCGAATGGGCCAATCTCAGATTCCCGCAATGGGAAGGTGCGAATATTATGGTATCCTGAGCTTTGTTGCCTCTTGAAAACAAGCGTTTTGAGGCACCGCAATGTCTTGCATTCCCTCGGCATCAACTGCCCCGCGTAGAATCCGTGTCCCCTGGTGGTCGGAGGTCTGTGAGGAGGCAATTCTTCCGCAGAGCGGACGTTCAAGGTTATATGTTTTCTGTAACGACAGACAACTTGTTCGCTTCTAAAAACGCCAGAGCATTGGCCAACCGCACCATATGTGAGGTAAAGCGCCCCATCATGGAGGGTTTAATGTTTTAATGGTTTAATGTTTGGCTTATGATGGTTTAATGAATGGTTTAAGTCGCCACACTCCACTCAGTGCAGTGTGGTAGCGGAGCGTTTCTGCTGTAGTTCCGGTGCTGAAAGTGGCGGGAATCACGATATTGAACATCCAGGAAGTTTCTAATAAAGTAGGCCTCGCATTTGCAGATGGGTACCGAGATGGATTAGATGACCCACGCTTTATTCGTTATAAGGAGCAGAGTGAAACGACGCAATTTTAGAATTCCTGGCTCAGAGATTTATGGGTACAGGCAACCATTTACTATCATGGAGCTCCGCACTGCTCTCAAGAATGCAAAGAGTGTGGACCCCTGGCCCGGATTAAGTCCACAATGATATGATAAATCGCCTAAAAGGAGTCCTTAGAATGCTTTACTTGAACTTTTCGATTACACATGGTTGCATGAAGACTCCCCAGAGTCATGTCGAGAGGCCACCATATTCCCAATAGGGAAGCCGGGAAAGCGTTATTCCGACCCACTACATTACCGTCCTATTTCGCTTACTTCAACCCTATGCAAAGCATTAGAAAAAGTGGCGAATCGTCGCCTCATGTGGTACCTTAAAACTCACGGCTCTCTTTCCAAGGAGCAATGTCAATTTTGAAAGAACCGATGCATCGTTGACCCCTTATCGATCTTAGATACATCTATACGACATGCTTTTAAAGAAAGCGTCACATGTTAGCCATCTTCTTTGACAATGGGCGGGCTTATGATACCACCTGGCGTCATAGCCTCCTTAACAAAGTACACATGTGTGGACTTTGCGGTCACATGACATTTTTTATTAAAAACTTTTTACGTCGCCGATATTTCCACGTTCGAGTGGGTGGCATGCTGTTTGATCGCTACGAACAGGAGATGGTGTTCCCTAAGGGAGCGTCCTTAGCGCAATCCTGTTGGCGCTGATGACTGATGATATTGCTAGCTGTCTGCCAGTCACCATCAGTTGGGCACTCAGGCAGCTTTAGTTGTGCTTCATTCAGCTAACTGAGTGGAGTCTAAATAACAGTTTCAAATTTTTGACCACGAAAGCCAGGTGCATGCACTTCTGCTCACGGAATCGAGACTGTTAAGACCTGGGGTTGTCCCGGATTATATTGCCACTATTTCAGGATGTCATGAAACCTGTTTCAGGGTCTCACATTTGATGCTCGGCTTACGTTTAACCAACACCTGAAGATGATGCGGGCTTGGTGTCTTATGTGCATAATCCTCATGAAAGCAATTTGTTGCATGATCTTTGGAGTCAATAGGTACACCCTGCTGAACCTGTACAGAGTTTTAGTTCGATCAGTCATCGACCGCGCTAGCCTTGCTCACGACAGTGCTACTTCATCTACGATGCAGATTTGACACAATCCACCATGCGTGCGTTCGTATAGCCATTGGAGATAACCGTATGACCCGAACAAGAAACTTGCTGGTGGAAGCCAATGAACCACCTATGCCTCTTTGAAGATGACGACTTGCTCTAAATTATGCCATAAAGTTTTCGCAGTTTCCGAATCACTTAGCCTTTGTGTCCATTTTCTATCCGACATCAATCCGTTCTTTCTTGAGGGAGCGGCTTGCTTCAACACGGCCCATGTGTTTGCAAGTCCGGCACTCGCTGGATGAGGCAAATGTTACGCTGGGCGATATTTCTCCGTACATCCTTTGGAACCCAGCCCCATGGCGACGTCCAAGTCCAAATTATGATTTAGAGCTTTGTCAGCATCATAAAAGTGGCATTTCCCCGCGATAGTTGCTAAGCTGTTGGTTGGAACGGATCGCACAATCCAAAAACTCATTACAAATATTTACAGATGGGCGCAGACTCGACAAGAAGTGGTTGCGTATTTGTTTTTGGTGATCACATCTTAGGTCTCTGCCTCCTGCAGCACATGTCAGTTTTTACATCAGAAATGCTCATAAGTTTAGCAGATCTTCAGTGCGCTACTTGTCCCTCAGGATGGGATGCAGTTATTTTGACTGACTCACTAAGTGCACTTCTATTATTGGACCCAACGTCGGTGTTGCGCGACCACTCCTCTCTGACACAATCAATCTGGGCGAAACCAGAACGGTCGAGCAACACTACCAGCCGAATCACATTTATGTGGATCCACAGTCACGTAGGGATATTGCGAAACGAGAAAGCGGACGCAGCGGTGAAAGCTGTGGCGTGTGAGAGAAGGCCGCCGGCAATTCATGTATCCGCTCGAGATCTGGAGTCGGTCATATCCAAGTACGTCCGCGATGCATGACAGAACATGCCTGAACAACATGACAACGTTTTCAAAGAAATTAAGCCCCAACTTGGTAATTGGGAATCTTCTTACCGCGGAAGCCGCTTCCAGGAAGTCGCCCTTTGAGGGCTTCAGTTGGGTCATACACATGCAACGCACTCGTTCTTTGAGACGCGTCAGGGTGTGCTACAATGTGACAGATGTGGGGACCGGTTGTCTGCGGAGCATGTCCTCGTCTGATGAAGGCGCCATGAAGCGGATAGGCGGTGATATTTTCCACCAGCGACCCTTCATCGGCTAATTGGTCGGAACCCATGGTGTGAAATCGGACATATACTCGCCTGTTAAGCATGCATTGGCTTTGACATTATTTGTGCCCAGCTCTCAGTGTAAGTGCACCGATGATACCGCCTCATGTTAGCCTACAGCACACTTATAGCGTGGCATTGCATCTACAGGTAATCGTCCTCGAGAGGGCGCAAAAACGGCCCGATGCATTGACGCGTCCTAAAACATCAAATCACCACAAATCAAATCATTCATTTAGAAGGTAGTCTGGGCGTACATTTCGTCAACGCGATTTTCAGTGTGACAATAAAAGACAATAATTCGACAACAAATGACAACGCAGATTGGTCTTCATGGCATCGGGATGGAATCTGGCGGTGGAACTGGAAGAGTAAGGAAAGGATTTCCTTTTTTTCGTGTTGCTGTATCTGTTAATATGTCTAGAGGACAGCCTCAAAGTAATCAAAAGATACGCCCAGCATAATCTTTGGCCGGTGCGAATTAATTCTGAAAGGCATTCGAAAGCATCATTGCAAGATGGTCACTCTTGCGCGCACGCCGCCTGCCGCACTGTGTTACTTGCTGTGGCCAAACGCCCTTCGGTTCTACGGAAACTGCAAGCTAGGGATCATGACGCGTCAGTGATGATCCCTACGTCCATCCCGTGCCAGATGCCCAGGGTAGAATAGGTAGAATAGGTCTGCCGCATAATGAACGGGACCAATGTATGATGTATCCCTCTGAGGGTCCCTGTTTCGCTACAACTGCGGCTGCTGGGCACCCCGGGCTGGGACGGAGGGGCTTTTCAGGTCCTGACCAGAATATTTTACTTGTACAATTTCGAGGTCGGTTCTCTGAACGGAATTAGCGGCTAAAACAACACAAGCAATCAAGATTTACGTCACTGTGTTACGAGCCTGTGGAACTGTATGAGCTAATCTGTTCCGAAATCAATCTGAAAGGCGCACAAGCTTTAGAAGAAAAAAAAAACTCAAAGAAGACTTTGGAAAAACTATAGAAATCAACGGTCCGGATGCATTCTGCACGCTTCCGAGTTTATTTCGCAGAGCGTTCATGAGTACTATTTTCGCACGCGGTCGTTTTTGACCCGCCCCTTGGCCCCATCATGATAGCTGCTGGCCGGCGACGCAAGGCCTCTGGAGGCTGCACCGCCGAGC